CACGGGGCTGAGGAGTTTGTTTCCATGGGACAGCTTTCCCAGGCACAGGGCGGCGTGGGCTCCGGAGCCTTGTCGCGCTGCGGTGAGCTGGGTGAAGCTTGGCACAGGGAAGCCCCGTGTGCCATAACCACTAGATGGTGCTTTGTTGACATAATATTGTCAGAAACCTCCTCCATCCGCTCCCAAAGGCAGCGGCAGCTGGAGAGATGCGAGCTTCAACTTTACGGACTGTCTGCTGAGCTATTTTTACTCTCCGGCAAGGCTGGGGTTCCTTTCCCTTTGAACGAGGAGGCCGAGATCTGCACTGATGAGCTACGGGCAAGCAAGACCTCGCTGCAAACCTCCTCCTCTGCCTTCTCCCAGTCCCACCCATCAGGCTGCTGGTCAGGGCAAACAGCTCACCTAGCCATGAGCGCGTTTTCCATCACCACACAGATGGTTTCCCTCTCTAGTTAGGCAATGGTTTATATTCACACGGCGACAATCTCCGCGGTGGCTTTGCTTCTCCCGGCTTATCTGCAGTTTGCTCAGTTCAGAGCCATCTGTATGACACAATACTGCAGCTTCCACGCGTGGACATGAGGCTGAAGTGGCTCAAAAAGCCACAGGGGAATGCACATATCCCCTAATCCTCTCCCATGTTGCTCAGAATAATTAATGAATTGAGAGTTTGGGGCTTTTTTTTTTTAGAAAACCAGAAACCTAAGTCTTTTCAGTAAACAGCATTTGGCTTTCAATGCCTCTTCTCAATGTTACTGCATGATGTGGCTTCTGAAAGGGAACCTGCAGGCAGCTCAGTATGGGGGAGAAAAAATCTTTTTTCCTAGCTTTTGCAAAATATTTCCAGCTTCTCTGCTAAGCTGATAACTGCCTAGTGTGACCGGCGCTTGTGGTTTTCCCCGTGCTGCTGTGCAGTGAGCCATGCAGACCCGCTAAGAGGTTACCCTGGAGTCCTGGTGTTCAGGTCGCAGAAAAAAGCCCTGCGATCTACCACTATTCAAGCTCTCCTCTTGCTGATACCAGCAGCTCCCGCACCTTAAGTGCTGACCTAAAAAAACTCACATTTGCTTACTCTGAGTTTTTCCTGAATGGTTAATGCCAGATGCCAGCCAGTCAATGAAATACATTCTGGAGACAGCAAAGAGGTTTAATATATAGCATTAGTGGGAGTCCTGGGCTTAAAAATAGATTGTCACACAAAAAATGTGTTTAAACAGACTTAAATTTATTCTCTGGCACATAGGTATTTGCTGATTTTATGGTATTGCTACTGGCAGCTTCTTCAAGGAGGCAGAGGGCTGGGATAATGTAGTCTGGTACAGGTGGGGGCTGCAATGGAGCCACGGGAGGAGGAGGAGAGTGCTCTAGGACTGCGTTAGCAGAAAATGCTGCCAGTAACATTGGCTTTGTCTAGAAAGCAATAGGTACCAGACGGGAAAACAGAGCAATTCCAGAGGAACAGGAATCTAATCACAAAATAGCACCTCACTGGACTTTTCTGGCTGGATGCTGGATGCAGAGGTGCAGGGAGTTTGCTGGACAATGCTTGGAGCTGGAGGGAACCTTACAGATCCTTCTGTCTCCCTCACTTCCCTGCATTTGAAATGCAGGTGTGATTTAAAGCCAATACTACAACCCACAGCTCTTTTCTGTTTAAAGAGCTACTAGATGAAGATTTTAAAATACTCTAATGGGGTTGAAGGGTCTGGCCTGGCGTCCCAGAGGCTCAGCTTCTCTGGAAACAGAGCCAGCCAAGACAGGCACAAATACCTCTGCTTTAGGGGAGAGCTGCAGGTTACTAAGCACAGAGCCTTTGCCTCAGGGCCATGGCAGCTATTAACGGCCGAGACCCACAGTTTCTTCACGCAGGGCTGTAGCTGTACACTACTGTACAGCTGTACACTGTCAGCTGTACCAGCTGACACTGGTGATGTTCAGTAACACTGTGGTGTTCTCTGAAAGCTCTCCTGCACCCCAGCACAAGATGTACAGGTACCCATGAGATGCAGTACCTCAGAAGAAAAGGTACGGTGTGAATACTGGTGAACAGGGTGTCTCACCGATAACACCAGATGGCCAATACCTCATCCTCTCCCTTTTGGAGCTTGTTGTGGAGCTGAAGCCCTTGGCTCATCACCCAAGCCCTCCAGCTCTAAAGCGCCCCAGACATACCAGGCTCACAGCACGCAGTGCCATGAGCTGGGTTTCCCCAGCCACTCATGTGAAGTCGGTGTGTTTCTCCGCCCAGGTGAAAGTTTTTGGATCAGATCCGAATTTTCTTGGCATCTTTGCTAAGTATTGGTGGGCAGAACCATTTTGGTTGTGGTAGAAAGGGCCCGGTAGCAGACACAAACACCGCAAAACATAATGTCACCTGCCATGTGGTTACCATTTGTGGGGGAAATAGGGGAAGGTGAACTCCTGTTACACAGTCCCCATCCTTGCATGGAAAGGATTGCTCACAAAGTCAGGAAAGCGAGGGTGCCAGAAGATAATGGAGAGCATGCACAGCCCCTAAGTGGTGCAGAAGTGGGCATCGCTGTGCCATGGCTGGTATCTTACAGCAGGGAGGGAAGCCTGGAGCTCAGAGCCCTGCCTGGGTCAGAGAACAGCACTATGGAAGCACCTGGGGCAAGCGGAGCCTCCAGGAGCCCCGTGCAAGTGATGACCATGGCTGTTGGAGCAGGAAAGCGGTCACCCTGGTTGCTGCCAGAGCAGCTGAAAGCTCCCTGTGGTGCACAGTATGCAGACAGACTCCCAGGCTGGTAGAGGAGGCAAGGAGGTTACTAACCGCTCGAACGCGTTTAAGGCGCTCCTCTAATTTCTCCTCTGCTTCACGTTCCTTCTGTACTTCCTCCAAACGGTTGATCAATTCTGCAGCAAACTTCTCTGGTTCGACGTGGATATCCTTTGGCATTCGGTACGTACGCTGGAAGAAAAACACACCAGGGGTTAGCCAAAGATGCACGAAAAATCACAGGTTTACTTTGGAGGCTTCGGTAACTGGAAATGCCAGTCGTTCCGGTGGGGAGCTGGGGCTGGCAGACGCAGAGGCGCAGCCTAGGACGGGTGGGCTGGACGCTGGACCACCACCACGAGCTCCCTGGCTGGCACCAGCCCTGCACACTACCCCACGTAAGGGAAAGGTTTTCTGGAGCCACAATTCAACCAGTTCAGCACCAAACTGCATTTGGGATGGATGTGCTTGCTTTTCTCCCAGTGTACAGGCTGTCAACAGGAATATCCTGGTCTCAAAGGGTGGGAAAAGGATGTACAGATAAGCCTCTCAAAAATCATCCTTAAAGCAGTGATGTTTTCACATTGATAGGAAAGCTAGTAAGCCTACGCCAGGTGGATCAGCGTATGCCAGGCCATCGCTGCACATCTAGCCCACAGCCGCAGAGACGAGTGAAAATCCTGTCACCTCACAGAATCACAGACTGGTTTGGGTCTGAAGAGACATTTAAAGGACACCTGGTCCAACCCCTCTGCCATGGGCAGGGACATCTTCAACCAGATCAAGCTGCTCAGAGCCCCATCCAACATGGCCTCGAATGTCTCCAGGGATGGGCTATCCACCACCTCTCTGGGCAACCTCCAAGACACCTTCTCTCCGTCTTCTGCCGCAACCCAGCCCAGCCACAAAAGGCCACGATTCCCACAAAGCATCCTCTCTTACTAGAGGATCCTGCAGGATTGCATCTTGGCTCTTCAGAGCCACACAACGATCCCCTGCTTGCTTTATCAACACAGCAGCCTTACAAGCACAGAGATACCATTCGTCTGCTTGCTCTGGGTGAAAAGATAAGTATTTATGAAAGTTCAAGGGCATTCTCAGTTCCTTATGCTGAGTTACTTTGTCCCTAAATTCCCGAGCTCAGGGATAAGAAATTTGTGAAGTATGAAGCCATCAGCCGCTCTATTTTTCCCCTCATTTTTATCCTTTCTGCATCATTTTCTTAAAATAGTAGAAAAAACAAAATGACACGGCAGAGAGAAAAATTTAATTTGGAGGAAAAAAATATGGAAAATTCAACAGCATAAAAACCTGCACTCAAATATTTCAGTACCAACATGAGAGAAGTATACACTCTATAGGACCAGAGATAAAATTAAATATGAAGACTTAAGATAATTCATAGCAAAAGAACAAATGCAGCACCAGAAGCAGACACTGGGCTTGAAATCCTTAAGGGAGGATGAGAGACCACCCGAATTTGTCCCAGACCAGCCAAAAGATCAATATGGAAGACTAAAATAATGCTCTGCCTCAAAACCCAGCAAAGGTATGCAAATCATATTAGTTTTTCTCTAGGTGGAAGGAGGGGAAGAAAAACAGGGGCAGTAAGTATTCTACTGATGGCACTGAGAAGCTGAAGACATCTTGTGTGACACCCGAGTTGGGTTGCAGAGGTCTCGGTTAAAGCACCGCTTGTTTTGTTTGCCAAGAGTGAGACCCAGGCAGCAAATCTCAATTCCAGCCCTCACTGCCATCGCCTTCTCTCCTGCGCCGCATGGTGCTGGGCTGCAGCGTTCCTGGGGACGTCTGCGGACACGACGAGGCTTCGCAGGCACAGGACTGCCTGCTCAAGCACTCACTTTTTGTGGGAAGCAGAGGGACTGACAGCTTCCCCTGAAGCTGTCCCAGGTAGGACTGACACATCCAAGCTGGGATCAGCCCTGAACAACCATGCCTTCATCCAGGGATGCAGCCACTGGAGAGGGCGCAGCACATGTGAGCTACCAGGTGGCTCTCACCCTGGGATGACAAAGTCTCTGCTGCCACCAGGACCTCCAGCCCTGCAAATCAATGGCCTGTATTAAAAAAACACCACAGAAAAAGATTTTCATCAACAAAAATGATGTTTAGTCTTAAAATACTGGCACAAAGGCCAAAGTGGCATACTTCATCCCAGTGCCTGGACCCACGTTGTCCAGAAATGGGTCCCACACGTGTGCCATCATGGGGGAAGATGTGGCAGAGCTGTTCCCTGCTCTGTTACTCCCTGGGGAGCTTCTAGGATCCAAGTGATGCTTTCCTCTGTACCCCAGGGCAACACTTCTGGCTAAGGGAGTCTGCTTTCATCAGAAACCTCAAGCCCATGACCACCACCCACCACTCGTTGAGGCAGCACCAGCGATTCTCGAGGAGGGAAATTTCCTCTCTTGCCTGACAAGTTGTAACCTGTCGGGTGATGTGTTCCCTCCCTCCTGCCACCTCAGACATGCCAACTCTCCCTGCGGTTGTTTATACGACGGCAGCACCAAGCCCTGCGCCGTTAGAAACTTAATGAGCCTAATGAGAGGCAGCTCGGCACTCAGCAGTTACGGTGTCGGGTCTCCTTGTTGCAGCTACCGCAGAGGCTTCCATAGAAAAGCAGAACTGGGAAAGAATTTCCCTTTATTTTCAGTCTTTGATGCAATGCAGCATCCCAAACCAAAGTCTCTCCCAAGCCCGCAGCAGCAGCGGGTGCAAAGGTTGAAGTTTGCAAACCTGCGCGTTCCGAGTCCTGTTACAATAAGGTGTTCCCTCCAGACCCAGCAATGCTTAAGGACCGCAGCTCCGTCTCTAATGAGGATCTGAAGACATTCAGGGTCACTGCTGTATGCAGGGAACTTGAGGTAAGATGATTTTACAACTAACTTTTTACAGCTTTTACAGGTCTTTTACAACTAACGCTTCATCATGTTTATCCACAGCCTCTCAAAAGTCTGGAGGCGACTGAAGCTCAACTACAGAAATGAAAAGAATAGAACCCAAGAATCTTCAGGATTAACTCATCTTCCTCTCTCTTTGATAAACCTCTGGATCTGCAAAACCCACTGCCCCATCCTTGGGGCTTTCCACTCAGCGTAACTTGCAGAGGTCCTCAGCAGCCCGTTCGAGGGTGCCAGATGCAGTCCCCTCTGCGAAGCCATCGCTGCAAGGGTCTCCCTGACCATCCAAGTTCAGTGTAGCTGAAATAACCTCACTGCACCCCACGGATACTGGTTGCACACACCCTATGTTGTCCTGCCGGGTACCTGTAATGGTGACTCACAGAAAGCTGTCAAGCAGGATGATGCTCTGAGCATCGCCACAGATCTGACTTCATTGCTGGCACAAAGGATGAGCTACACAGACTTCCCCAAGACTAACAGTATTGCAGAATAATGAATGCAAAGTCCCTGTGCTGAAACAATACAGGTAGCTCATGAGGGTTCTCTGTCTCCCTGGACAGCAAACATGGGCTGCACTGAGCTGGTTCTAAAGGCTCAAGACAACAGAGTGTTTGAAGCTTTTATCAAAAGATAGGCCTGACTGAGGAAGGGGGACATGCTCCATCAAAAACCTGCCAGGCTGAGCCTGTGTCCACAGGAGGATCCTTCAGGGCTTTGGGATTTTGAACCTGCCCCCAGCCTTCCATGGGCATACAGAGCCCTACCAAGAGCGTTGTAAATAAGCTCTTTATTGTTCGGGAATCAGAAGGGCTCCGAATGGTTTTGTTCCAAGTAAACGGTGCAGCACTCCTTGAGAGCTGTCTGGTTTTGGAGGATCCAGCCTTCCAGTCTGGACCAGAAAGATCTCTGGCCATTCTAGGTCAACAATTCAGAAAGGAAGCACTTCAAAGAATTGTTTTATCTACAGATGTTTTATCTAATGTTTTATTTAATTATCTATCTACTAATGCCACTAGTTCAGATGGGTCTGTCCAGAACCAAACCATGCTGAAGTGGGGAAGTTGCAGGAAACAATGGATGGGAGGCTGAATGCCAGATGGGTTGGCAAGAAAGAAATTGTCTGAACTGGTCTGGACGGAGCAATCTTTCCTAGTGACAGCTGTGAGGGAGGATTTCTCACGGTACCTATCACCAGAACACTGTCCCCTGTCCCTGACATGCAACGTGTCTGAGGCTCTGGTACCTTTTAGAAGCAGCAGCCTGCTAAGAACATGCAAGATACACCAGATCTCCAGTAGTTCCACTCAGCATCTGCTATCACACTTTCTTGGAGTTGATGAAGTAGGAGTTGTATGGATTTTGCCTCATGAGTCAGACGTAGGTGTTGCGTTTTGAAAGATTTCACCTTCCCTGAGAAACCGAGGTTTGAGGACCAGTTGCCCATCAGAACATATATGTGAGAAGGCTGAAGGGGAAGAATTTCACTGCGGCTTCTGGGTTCCCCTTGGGAACAATAAACATCAATTGCTCTGAGATGAAACAGCAAATTTTCTGATGTTACCACTGGGCAGAGGTCTCTAACCAGCCCTAGGGATCCACGTGTTGGGCTGAACCATTTCGGACAGATCCAACTGGGCCAAAGAATTCTGTGTGGGTAAATCTCCCTCTTGTACAGGAGCTCTGATGCCTCCACGACACTGGAGTGGCCTGTTAGATCACAAGTCAGTCGTGGAGATGAAATCAAGATGGCAGGCTAGAGAACCCAAGAGAAAAAAAGGACTTCTGAACCTCCACACTTCTCAGATTAATGAAGCGTTCCGCTGTGACATATGTTTTTAAAGGATAGATGGTGTTTCCGTATCTGAAACACTTGTGGCAGAGCTCACGGATATCTGGATTTCAGCATCCACTCCAGCAGCATTCAGGGAGTAGCAAGGAGTCCTGCTGCAGTGAGGCAAGGAAAAAGGCATAAAACAGCTGATGGGAATCCTGAGCAGGAATTCCCAACCTGCAGGAGCAGAAAGCTCATTTAGCTGTAGTTATCCAGGCAGCAGGAAGACAGGGCTCCTCCTGTACACTCCTCACTGTTACAGCATTGCAGAGTGGTCACTCAAAATCATCTCTTCCACCCAAGAACACCACGGAAACCACCTCTGCGGAGAGGACATCCTTCTGGGAAAGTTGAGCAATCAGCCTGACCCACTCTGCTGCTCTACTTCTACTTTATTCTTCTCACAGAGGAACTGTGTAAAGAGCTGCAGCTTCCCCGATTGTGGGGCAGGACAGGAAAGCTCCCACCTCATGATCAAGCTACAGCAAGGACATCACAGAATGGCTTCTTTATGCAGTTAAGAAGCAAACAAAAAAAGAAATCACAAGTCTTAATGCTTGAGCTTGGATTTTTCTGAATTTGCTGGGAAAAAGCAGCACCTCCCATCCTCTCCTGGGAACAGATTAATGCCACAGCCGGGATAAATGCAGTGCAACAGCACAGGTACAGCTCTGCAGTCTCTGAGCTTTCAACCTTTCCTCTGGGAACTTGCTTCTTTCCTTCCTTGGTGCTCCAAGACTCTGCTTGAATCCAAGAGAGAGATGGAAACCACAGGAAAAGCAACACTCACCCGCTGTGCAATGGGGTCCTGCGAGAGGCACAAACCGCTGCTCGCTAGAGACCCTCACCCACTGCATTCCTGGGTAGAGCACTGTTTCAGAAAACACAGCCTTTCCAAAGGCGGAGCACTGGCGCGCTTGTGAGGGCGGAATATGCAGAACACAGCCGTCCACGCACCGAGATCTCCTGCTGCATAGCCCAGCATCCTACACAACCAGCACATGCCTGCGTTGTTTGGAGGCAGCACGGCTGGCGAAACGAACGGGCAGTCTCCTACGAACACATAATCACTATAATTTATAGCTTCTGGACCTAACTAAAGGTGCTGCTATTAAGAGCAGCATAACTTCTTTCAGTATTTTGCGTAATAGCCACATAACTCATTTGTAAAGGAACGGTAAGGTCTCTAGAGGACTTCTGAAATGACTTTTCGGAAGTAGGAGGTTCTCTGCTATCACTAGGAAAACATGCCATGCATTCTGCAAGCACTATCAGTATGGACTCTGGCTACACTGGTTAGATATGAGTCCATAAAGACCTTCACTCAAAGGCTGCGATTTAGTCATCGCTACACGCTGGAAAGCACGCTAACCACCAGGTCCGGGCGGCTGAGGGAGGCTGCCTGGGCTACGGGCGGCGAGCTAGCCTAACCACCGCCTTTGGAGAAACATTTGCATGGCTCCTTGCTAATTGGGGAAGTTTAATTCAGCAAGCGTGCAGTTAGAGGTGATTTTAAAAGACTAACTTTATAACATTTCACACTGGTGTTGTCAAAACATATTGTCTAATTACCTTCTCCTTTCTTGGCTGATTGATAAGCGAGGGCAGAGCAGTGCCTCTCTGAAGTCAATGCCAATTCTGTGTCAGTAATTGGCTGGCAGGAGGTGCCAGAGTGTCTGAACTAAACTTTTATTCCCTGGAGAAAGACTAGAACTAACTCGAATTCTCAGTCCTCTGCTCCCATATAAATATGCGTCAAGATGCCTTTTTCTCTGGGACTTAAAATTACAGCACAGCATCTAATGGGAACAGCGGATGTTTCACAAAAAAATCCTTGTGAAGCGTCTGTGTGTAGTTTAGGAGGAATATGTAATTCTAAAAGACCATGTAGATAAGTAGGATGATATAAAAATTTATAAGCAGCAGGTGGCCAATTTAAACCTTGTTTTTTTTCTCCCCCTTTTTTAACTTGTTTTCCAAAAAGGTCGATAAAATTTAATGCTAAGTAAAACTAATTAGCCTGCAAGGAACTGCTGCTGGAATGACACTTATTCAGTTCAACAAAAGAAATGTTTGGCAGATGGAAGTTCATTAAAGCAGAGCTCACTATACATATTTAATGCTCCATACTCCGAGTTTATAACCTGCAGTTCATCGAGGCATTGCCAGTGCACACGATCAACAGAAACCCACTATTATTTTTATCCAAAAGGTAAAGCCACTGACAAGCTTTGAAGTCAGAATATTCACTCGGTAGTTCCCACTGTTGGGGAACAGCAGCAACAACAACAACAAAAAAAAATAAAGGCCAAGCTTTCAAACTTCAACTCTAACAAAGCCATGCTTACAGTAAAAATGGCATCAAGTGAAATAAAAAGGCACCCAGCCAGCCTTTTCAACAGCGACCACACTGTGAAAGCAACTGTGTGAAAAGAGAGGTGACTGAGCAAGGATGGCTAGTGAGCGTCCGTGGCCAGGGCTTTTATTGTCAACCCAGTGATCAAAGCACAGGAGACCCTCTTAAATCTAAGGAAAATAATCTAATTTAAAAGGCAAAACAAAGAGTGGTGGTTTTGGGTTGGTTCTTTTTTTTTTTTTTTTAAATCAGATTAAAACAAGGGTGTATTTCTGCTGGTATTGTGCTGCTCTGAGCAGGCAGGATGAGAACAGCTGCGTCAAGTTTGAAGGCACTTCTGGAAAAAGCAGATGGAGGCTTTTTTTTCTCCCTATTTGATTTGTGCTGGAGTCCAGCTGTCCGAAGGGGAAAGAAGCACCTTTATTCCCTGCTAGATATTAAATGTCACCTGTAACTTCTCACAGCAAGAAAATAATAATAAGCAGAGCTGCAGATGGTGCTGCAGAGCCCTAAGAGTTATGCTCATCTGCCAAAGCTGTTTGCTTACCTCGAGCAACCGCGGAGACCGGACAGGACAAATGAAATACTTACGCCTGCTCTTTCTTTGCTCTCCTACCTCATACCCCCAGGCGGGCTTTGCCGAGTTCCTGAGAACGGGTTATGGCTCCCTTTGGCTGCCGGTGCAGAAATACCGCTCGGGACAGTTTCTCCCCAGCTGACCTTGGCTGAGACCTACATCAGCCTTCGTGTCCAATGGCCTCCTACACCTTCCACAAACACCTCCAGCTCACCCGAGGGCATGTCACTCGCTTGCAGGTAGAGAACAGCCAGCGCTCCCATTCTCATCCGGGAGAAACAACCGGCTACTGACTGAACGGTTAAGACAAACCACGTTTTGGGCAGCCGTGGACGAGGAGTTTAGCAGAAGGCTACCAAGCCCTTTCTTACCACGGCGCATTTCCAGCTGAAAACATCCTCAAACGAAACCAGCACTAAGGGGGGTTAATCTTGAGCAAGCAGACTAACCCTATGCTACAGATCTCACATATTTACCTCTGGGGAAGGAGACAGTGCTACTTACAGGAATGTGAGGTAGTGGCACACGTCCATTTGCTTTGGCACTTTCTTGCATCTCTCGGCGATGCTGCTTTCGGAGTCTGTACGGTGGGATCCCATCTCTGCCGGAATAAAACAACAACATGCCCTGCTTTAGTGCCTTTCTCCAATGCAGGATGTTCGTTTAAACCTCGCTGCTATAGAGTAGCAGTTAGGAAACCTCTTCACGTTTGAGAAAGGCTTTGCGTGCTCAGGGCGAAGCGCAAAGCAAGAGGAACCCGCGCAGAGAACGATGCTCACCCAGGTCCCCACACCAGCAACCCTCCGGCATTGGGTGCCGGGGGACTGACACAGCATCCGCCGGGAGCGGAGCGAGGCAGGGCTCCTGTGACCGCTGCCCTAGGCACAGGGCAGGGAGAGGGACTTGGACCGCATCCTGGTACCTTTTATAGTTGGTTGCTTTCTATAAAAGAGCCTGTAATGTACACAGTAAACCACAGGGCAGGCTAGAAGGGGGAGGAGGAGAAGTGGGAGCTCAGTGAGCATCTACACCAAGGGGACCTCGGTCACGGAACAAGGTATAGGTTTTTAGGAGAGCATGACAATTTCTCAAACGGCTTATCAAAGTGAAGGGGTAGAGTCTGCTGCTCTTAAGACCATCTCTAGCTCTGTCAGAAATGATGGGCTTGATAGTGGAGTTACGGTGTGGAAGAACCTAGCCCTTGCCCCAGGGGAGGCTGGACGAGGTCAGGGAGGGATGCAGACCCAAGCACACCAGCTCCGCTCAGGTTTGGCCCTTGCTGAGAAAGCTGGTGCCGGAGGAGATGGTGACAGCGATCCATAGTCGTGACAGAGGGGGAGCTGGGCCCACGGCTCTGCCATGAGCTGGGGGACGGTGCAGACCTGCTCTGCTGAGCCGCACGCAGCCCTTCTGCAAAGACTGGGTGTGCGTGGGTCCCGCGACGAGGGGCTTCGCTAAGCACCCCTAACAGCAAAGCATCTCTGGACAAATACGACTTCAGGCAAAGACAGGAACCGTGTTTTGAATCTCACCACTGCAATCACCCTGCAGGTGATACCCAGGGTCAAGGAGAACGTGAGCGAAGGGGAGCCCAGCAAGGTAAGGGCACAGGCCCATCCCCTGGTGACACTGGGTCATTTTGAGAAAAATCAAAAAACCAAACACCCACCTGCAGCTTGGCAATTTGGAGGTTTTTTTTTTACACACTTCCCTGATTCAGTAAAAGTAACCGCCTGGGTAGGCTGTGCAATGCCACAGAAACAGGGGGAAACGAATGGAAGGGGTTTGGTTTGTCACAAGTACCAAGTAACTTCCACACGCGCGCGCCGTCTCCTTCCAACCCCGCGCCACCCCGAGCAGCGCAGACCAGCCCGTCCCAACGCATCTCACAACAAGATGTTTGCACAAGCCAAATGTACTTAGCACCTACCCCCCTGCCAACTGCCAAGCACAGCTGCTTCGCGAGGACATAAGCCAAACAGTTTAACCAGCAGATTTTTAAAGCCAAGATGCCATTTGGCAAGGGAAACACGATTTACCGCGGTGTTTGGCCTGCAAACCTCCCGAGTCACAAGCACCATCCTGTGCGAGGATGGTCACCATCAGCTCTCTTCCCCGTTTCCATCGTGCCTCCCTGGAAACGTGGGCACGGGCAGAACGGCCAAGTCACATCAGAAGAACACCACTTGATGCAGTAAGCCAGGCATTCAAAATTAAACACCATTAAAATAAAATAAACCCCGCGATTAATGACAAGTGCTTTTTAGTAGGAAGACAAATGAGAGAAGAGAAAATTAGGCCGGCTAATTACAGCTCTGGCTAGTGGCTGCAGGTAATGCGGGAGGAGGCAGAGCACGTCTGGGAGCATCACCTCTGCTGCGCCCGGCACTCAGACCCTACAGGAGCAGAGCAATTTCCCCAGGCGTTGCTATACCGACGGGCCAGTACCATGGCTTTCATTAGGCGGCTTCGTCTTCTTTAAGGACAAAACCTCCATTGGAAAAATAACTTAAAGACTCACAACGGTTAAAGAGTTTCAGTGCACCACGACGCGGCTTTTTCCAGGCTGGACGGCAACAAAACAACTAGCGATTTTTACAGGAAAAGATAGATCTGGGGGATTATTTTAGCCATTGCTGGTCGGCATCAATAGACAACATTTCAGCTTAACATTTCAGCTTTTTTTTCGCACAAAACCCGGGTGTCAGAACACAACTCGCACGCTAAACCCGCGCGGCCATTCGCAGGGAAAGCGGCATTATATTAGAAGGTGCATTTTTTCTTTCTTTCCCCCCCCCCCCCCTTTTTTTTTTTTAATTCTCCCCAGCAGCAGTCCCAGCGGAAAGAGCGACTTTTGTTCCCAGCACAGTAGCGAAAGGCTGATAATGGCCTCTAATCTATCCGGCTTCAAACACATGTTCAGCCCCGCTGTGCTGCCTTTGATGTCATTTTAACTAGATTCCCCAATGCCACCTCTGAACTTGGAACATTCCTTCGTTCAATGTACTGTGCCAACTCAACCAGAGGAAGCAAATTCAAAGATAAGCACTTTAATTTTATCCCAACAAAACCTTATTCAATAGATGGGGGGAAAGCAAGGAAAATCAATACCGTACTTTTGTTTTCCTTTTGTCAGGTAGCTTGCTTTGAGATATTTTCAATAGATAGAGAAATAATATATATATAGAAAAAAATCAAAACTTTGTTAGAGCACATCTACTTTTAAAATAAAACTTTCCCAAACTGTTTTTCCTTGTTTCATCACGTGATTTTCTCCAGCACCAGAAAGCTCTGTGCTGAAATGTAATGCAGGGAGCAAAAGCATTTCTATCATTTATTTAATGATAATGCAATTGGGTTTGCTCCTGGGGAAACACAGGGGCTTCCTCTCCTCCCCGAACTGACCTGCAAGTGCCTCTGGTGAGCAGGGAGGTTTTGCTGTGGCTCTGCTGTTGGACTCTTCCAACAAGGGCTGTCTCTGCTACTCCGTTCACAGCCTCCAAACCCAACCGTTAAGCCTAACAAGTTGAAAATCATCATCGAGGATCTTTTAAATTAAAAAGCTGTTAAACTTGTTTAAATATAGCAGAACTCAAGGTCATTCTGGATCACCGGCCACAGGCAGGACAGGAACCAAATCCACAGCAAAGCTGATATTTTCTACCAATTACTCTTATCAAAGCACCACCGTCACTGAGACCTTTCTCACATAAAGAAGCGTGATGGGAAAATCGCCAGACATTTTGGCCAAAGGCCAGTCATCCGAGGAAAAATACTTAATCTGCAAGTTTTTTTTTAAGGAGCAACCACTGTCCTAAACCCCTTCGCTCCAGGCAACTGCCATCCTTGCTTTGGGGCAGGTTCAACTGGAATTGGGAAGAACGAGCATCCCTCTGGTCAAGCCCACTGGCACCGAGGGCTTCCCAAAGGCAAAACTTGTCTCCCAACCAAGACAAGCCAGGACAGATGATAAGACCCCAGAGGAAGGAGCATTGTTGTTCAGCTGGACCACAACACAGGGCTAAAGAGGAGACATTACCTCTTGTTTACCTATCTAAGCTCTTGCAGAAATAAAGAGAAGATAGATAGGGACTTAAGGCATTTCTGTGTATGAATGGGAAGATCACAGGGCAATTTAATGCATTTCAGCTTCTGCCTGTTGCCTTCCTGCCTAGATCTGCCTTAATTTCCCTTGTGTGTCTCTGCTGTGACACCCCCTGCCCCGAGGCTGTCTCCTCAGCTTGCGGAAGATGCGATTTGTACGTGGGGTTATCCGAGACAGCAAGAGCAGTTCAGGATGCACCATAAATGCTGCCACAAGCCTGGGGCAGGCTCTGAGCAGCCCAGGGTGGGAGGCAGAACCCCAAAGCCCCGACCCACCACTGACCCACCACCGAATGCCAGCGGTGAGCGACTCAGCCCCACCTGAGACCACGGCACACTTGCTCGCCGGAGCTTTTCAGCGTGTCCTCTGCAGACCTCGCCTCCACACAAACCAGCTAAAACAACACAGCTGCCGCGGCGATTATAAAAACAGGTTTCAGCAGAGAACCGGAGCTGTTTTGCCTACAAGGGCAGAGGAATTCGTATGACACAGGAAGACTGAAAAATAATCAGTGGAGCGCAGGCATTTAAGAGCAATGTTTTTTAAGCCACCCAAAAAGCAAACTCTTCGAACAACAGAGACTGATAACGTATTTGTTATATAAATTCAACCCATTACAATAATATTTATCAGTGCTTGGAAAGACATCCTGTGGAAAGCAGTCTTTCAGGCAAGCCTGGTTGTAGCTGGTACCACAGAAATGGCTTTTTAAAACACTTTGGTGAGTTGGGCGCTCGCAAAGAGCCTGTGCCTGCCTCCCTTCGCCCCAGCTCAGGAGGCCAGACAGCTGGAGCATCGCCCCGGTCTTGGCTAGGAGCTTGGCATAGCTGAGCTGTGCATGCAGCCACATCCAAACCCCACTTTGCCATGAGCAATACAATATCAAACCTTGCATGGGAGCTGGTGACAACTGCAAACACACCAGAGTACAAGCAACCGCACGGTGTGTTTGCCTTCTCCACCACCTTGAGCTGGCCAACGCTGGAAGAGCACGCCTTGTGTCAAGCCCTGCCTGCTGTGTGCCCGCCTGCCTTCCCGGTTTACGGTCAGCACTCCTCAATCAGCCGATGTTTGCATCCGGATTGTCCGGACACATTCTCCTCTGATGGAGGGTCACGGAGGTTTCCGCTTTGGGATCACACCCAGTTCACGTGCTGCCTTGGAGCAGAAGCCAGACTTCTTCACTGCTGAGCTTGACTGCTGTATGTAAACAGCATGCTTAGGGAAGAATCTCGCTCATCAGCAAACGAGGCTTTTGTTGCCATTTTACTCAGAGGAGGCCCGAATTCAAAGCACTGAGACATGCAAGTCTTGTCAAGCAGCCGGAGTCCCTTCTTTAACTTGCGTCTGGTTGTTCTTCATTTTTGCTGCCTTGAGCAATTCTGCAAAAATTCCTTTGAAACTCGGGGAGGCAGAGAGGTTCAGCAACGCCATGTGAAAACTGAACAAAACCTGGTACTGGAGTTTTAAAGGACGTAACGAAGAGCAAGTGCTGAAAGCAGACAGAGCCTTTGTAAGGCAAAGGTCAAGGCTGTATGTCCAGAATCCCGATTCGGGACTCAATCTGCATGCATCCAGTTTGAGATGCACAGAAAGAAAGATCACAGGTTTACCCTTATGATTTTTGAGACTTAATTAAAATGAACCACTGAGATTGGGGTAGTTATTAGCAGAAGGCAGCGCACACATCAGTGTTAATTAAAGTCCTAGAAGCAGCCGATGGCGGGCGTAGAAGGGATGAAATGCTTAAAGGAAAAAGGAGCAACGAATAAAGGACACCTAGGATGGTCAAACAGAAATGATTCTGCCCGTGAAAGAAATAAATTATGGCTACTGAAATAAAAATTAAGAGGGCGAAGAACTCCGGCATAAATGATCACAACTTACTGCAGGTATCACCATCAGTGCAACCCCCTGAGCCTGCTGGACCAGTGGAAAAGGAAGTGCTAAAAGCTAATTAATTTTGAAGGGTTCTTACATCTGTCTCTCCTGATAACAAGAAGTTACATGACCCCTGCTAACTTCAGAGCACTTCTCCACATAAATTGATGAATATGAAGAATCGCAGAAGGATGTGGCAAAGCAGCTGGATTTGTATCAAACTGAGCCTTTAATTAGCGGTCCTCTACAACTTTCTGTCCCAGGGGCATCCTCCGCCTCCCGTGTCCCTTTGGCCAAGGGCTGCCGCCTCCATTCTGCACTGTGACACAGCTGAGGCGTGAGGAGCTGGTGGCAGTGAGCAGAGTGGACTCAATAGCTGCTCCTAACTGGCTCCAAGCCTCCACAGAGCCAGAGACAAGCAGGCTGTCGGCTTGCACAGAGCCACCACAGCGGACACAGAAGCCGTGTCACGCATTTGCCATCTCACCATGTTAACCGAGGGCAGGCAGGGAACTCTTTCAGCATCCCCTAACAACACCTGCAACACAGACTAGAAAGGTTCTCCAACAAGGTCTGACAGCTCCTGACATTCACACTGACACTAAACGAGCCTCTTGGAGGACTTTGTGTTTACAGCACTGCTGTTAATAAAACCCTCTCTTAATTCTGTAAACCTGTCATCTTTTGCCTGAAGAATCAAAGGGTTTCTGCTCTACAGAAAGACACTTTGCATTTGCACTACTGAAAAACAGACCAAACACTGAATATTTTTTCCTAAATCCTTTTTTTTTATCCCACAGATGCAGTCACATCAAAATCTTATAACCTCTTTTTTCTCCCTTTGCAGACCATCTTTAAAGAAGGTGTCTCAGGGGTGAGATGCGGGGCGCTGTCGAGAGGGTAGGAACTAGGAAAAAAGCAAGAAAGGTTTTTCAGTACAAGTTGTGTTAAAATGCAGCAGTCACCAGACTTTAACTGGAACTGGTCAGACACCAATCTTACTGAAGAGCAGTCGAGACTGAGCACAGTTTGGCAACAAAAAACCTCAAGAGGAGAAACCTCAGGTAAGAAGAAAGCTCTGTCTGACATGCAGAAGACACTACATCTCAAATCACTTACTACAAAGCCATCCAACATTTCCAATATTTCTTGCACCTGGCAAGAAACACTGCAGGAACTCCGACTGAGCATCGTTTATTTTAGTTCACTCAAACCGTATGATGTTGCAAATGCTCCCAAGACCGCCAAAGCTGAGTCGTCTGCACAGTGACGAAACAATCCCGCTTGGAAAGAAAGCAAGAATGACCACGACCTCAGTCTAGTAAGATACTCCCCCCAACACCAGCTGGGGCAAAGCCTCCCGCAGAGCAGCACAACAGCAGCACCACCCCTAAAGAGACAAACACGCTCTTGTCCCACCGGAGCGGAGTTACTCACACGCTGCTGTCCGTCAGCGACATCGTATCGGCATCACTGGACATGCTCTGCTGCTCGCTGTCGTTGGCACTGGTCGCCGGCGCCAAAGCGTAGCCCGTGTTGACATAGTAAGGGTTAACAGGCTCTCGCCACGACCCATGCCTGCAAGGAAAATGAGAGAGGCAAATTAGAAGGACACAACCTTGACCACACTCGGCATCACGGGCAGGAGGAGTCTGCCTGGAGCCCCAGCATCGGTGACAGGCTGCAGACTAAGCTGTGTTCGTATTAACCTGCATTGACAGAAAGATGAACAATTTAACTCGTAACTGGAAGCAAATGGAGTAATGAAGATGACGCTATTAGAGATAAAGAAGAGAGGGAACAAGACTCCATGGAAGAAGTCCAGTTCCCATCAGGGTTTATTGTGTCCATCAGCTAACTGTTATAACTTAGCACTGTCATTCTACGAGCAAGGCAGGACATCTAAAAGCACTGTCTAGATAACGAGACAGCATCTTTCCTTTTCTACTCTTCCAGCTGCGAGGAACATGTAGCATGGCTCACCCATCCTCAGCTTGCTTTTACATCCCTCTTCAGTCCAACACACTTGCCAAGGGAGGGAGGTAAAGCAAGAAATGGCTGCTGCTTACAACCTAAAGCGACCTCAAATGTCACACTCTGGTACATCAAACACTTTCAAATTCCACCAGTACGGACCAGCTAATCACACCGGGTTGTCCACTGGACCATCGGCCATGGATCTATGGCTGCTTCTTTGTACCTCACCACATGCCTTGTCCTGCAGACAGGTTATTCGAGTACGCGTGCGAGCAGGCCAACCTCTTTCTCTCACGCAAAAGGGTAGAAGAGACCGCCTGCACGAGCTGTCTTGGGAAGCGGGCTCCTTGCTCGGAGGAGACCTGCACTAGCGGTGAAGCAGCCTGTGAGACCAGCAGGCAAGAGCTGCACACCGACGGTTACCGCATACAACAGCTACCGCTGCCAGCGTGCCTCCAGCTCCGCCACGCCGCCGGACAGTCACCTGCAGGCACCCTCTCGTCGTTTTGCAATCTGCCAGGAGGAGGAACAAGCGGAAACGTTCACAGCAACACAGCATTGTTTAATCCCACAGCACCCCTCGGCACGAAGAGCAGCATCTGCAAGACATCTTCAGTGAATTCCTGGGTTTTCCAAGCTCTGCTAGCAGCTCTGAAAGGCCAGAATCCTGTTTTAATTCAGATCACAAAGCTCATCAGCGTGATCTTTCCTTTAGTAACTCAGCGACCGGCACCTTGTTGGTGGGGTTTGTAACGGACCTTGAGCAAACACCTCCAAGGAGGACATGTCACGCCATTTGCTCTTCCCAGTTCTGATGGGAAAAGCTTTTGTGGCTCTACCGCAGCGGTCAAAGTCCCACCGACAACAGAAAACAGTCCCTGCCACCATGAGTTTACATTGAGATAAGACATGGAAACCCATGAGAAAGACACAGATGGAAGGACCGGAGGCGACGAAGACACCGGCAGAGGGAAAAGTTGGCTGTTTCTGCGTACTGGTGCAGAGTGTAAACGCAGCACAGCCCCTACACGGACCGGGACTAGCAGACAACCCGTGTAAGGTGGAGGTTTCCAGAGTGGTTTATGTATAATATGGTACTCGGTGCACAAGGATGGAAGCATTACCAAAGTACTTCAAAACCTGACTGTGACAGGGCTACGGCCTTCAGCCAACACCGCTCATAGAGCACCTGTTCACCACGGCCGCCTGCTCCTAGGCACGGAACCAAACAGTTTTCCTTGAGATGGATGCTCCCTGGCCACTACGAAAAATTATATTGCTTTAGGTGCACTATGGGGTCAGCTGGAAAGAAACACCCTCCCATTCTCACAAAGAGACAAGTAATATTTTGCTTGCCACAAACCAACAAAACCTCCAAGCTGTTTCTCCTCGGAGGACAAAGCTCAGTGTATTTGCAGAGCGGTGTCAAGAACACCCAAAACTGAGTCAGCTGAAGTTTTTCATGGCTGTCTGAAGCCAAGGCTGTTTTGTGAGGTTTCTCCATGCTTGGGTCCAGCACAGGGCGGCTGGGTACAAATGTTTATGGGCACCTTGAGACGGCGAGTCACCACGGACATCTAGCACATAAACCTTCTGCCTGTCACTGTCAATGTGCACTGGAGCCACCTTATTTCTATATTCCATCAGATTGCAGAACAGCTTTCTAGGGCAAATATTTAGGGCTGGAAATAATTTGAACAAGTTCACCCTAAAAAGCAAGGTATAATATGCGAAAACCTTACCAGCCCTCCCTTCACCAGTTCTCCCCTCGCATAATGGTCAGTCGTGAGCATTAATGGAGCGCCATGCCGTGCAACCCTCCTGTCAAATCTGATATGACAGTTGCGTGATGGAGGCTGATACAACCTCTTAAATTGAGGCAGGAATGATGGATAGCTCAGGCCTTCCCTGCAGGCAAAGAGAAGGATGCTTTTTGGATAACCCAATTAAAATATAGCACCAACTTCTAGTGGACCTTCTGCTACGACTCTCTGGAAGTGGCATGGATTATTCCAGCAGTATATTAAGAAAGCACTCTGATATATGGGTATAAAATGCACAGATCAATCTGCTGATACAGCAGAAAGCACCTGAGGACTTCACTGGGTATGGATCTGAGATGGCTGAAGGACCCAAGAGCAAGCAGATTGGTGCCGGGTGGTCCCTGGCCCCTCCAGAGGAGTCGGGATGGATGGGCTCTCCTGCAGCACTCCACGGCTGTGGGCTTGCCACTGAGGATGCAAGCAAGAGTTTGGTCACAACTGTTGTATTTAGCTAAAATTACACACTTAAGCATGTATACAACAGGGATTACTTCCATTTTAGCTCTGCCTCTAATACATCAATGCAAATGTAAACTTTCGGTAAGCATAAGTAGACGGAGAGGGTATAGGATTTCAAAGCAATCATAACAGGTTACATTACTTTTGAGGAATCCATCTGTATTCAATCCTTCTCCTAATGTTCCCTCTCCCTGACAACTCTCTTCAGCTGGCTCGTATCACTATTTGAATGTTTTGTGCCGTGCCTCTGAAGAACGCTTTCAACATCTATTAGGAGGAAAACATTAAAGGAACATGGAGTCTAACAAAAAATCCTGGTCACTTCTGATCTGGAAGGGGAGGCTGCTTTAAAAGGGATACAGCCACACTCAGAGCGATTTGAAATGTCAGCTAAAAACCTCACATACCGAGCTCTATGTGCTGATAAGGGTGATAAAAAGAAAGGTGAGCATTTAAAGTTAGACTTCACAAAAATTCCTGCAGACTTCCGGATTTCTTTCTTTTTTTTGACAGAAAAGCACTGAATGTTTTTGAAACGAACACAGAACATCTCACACATGGCAGAAATAAAGCTGCACGTCTCTTCTGCAGCTCTCAGTTGCTCAACCCTCAAAATAATCACACAGGGAACAATTATAATAGAGATCACAGCGACCCAAGTAAGTCAACCTGACCAGCTGCTTTTTCTTTGCATAAAGCCCTCCACTGATCACTGTAACTGCTGGTAATGCTGACAAGGGCCAAAACTGTTGGAGAAAACCAGCAGGCATCTCCTCAGGGCTTTCTTCTACCTGTTCAGAGTTCCTTTCGCGTGTTGCCTTGGCTGCAAATCTCCCACTCCTCCAGCTAAGACCAGCTCACAGCACTTTGAACATTAGCACTATCAGATCTTGGGGCTTCAATGTAGGCAAGAAGAGAGGTGAGGTCCTCTTCGGTCCTCTCACCCTGGCTGGACTTCCCATTGCATCCCAAGTCCCTAAGAGCGTCCTTTTCCTTCCAGCCTGGGATCCCCAGTCTCCTTCACACAGCTCCCCACTGATGGCTGCTTCAATTCTAAATCAGAGATGCTGAGTCCCCAGTTTTTGCCAAACATGATAGTCTTTTCTGTATGCAAAAAAAAGTAGGGCTAGCCTGCTCTGGGGAAGAACTGCATCACCTTCAGCACCCACAGCACAGGAAACTCCTCACAGATCCTGCCTGCAAACCCAAATCCAGACAGCACTCCCTTTGGTTCTCAAAAGATACGCACCTCGTCACTGATGTCCTTCATCAAGCACAGAAAAAAAAAACGAGGCAAGAAGGGAACTTCTTGATGAAAGACCTCTAGGCAACTAATTTCTGTAGAATTTATATTTTCACTGGAGGGAATAAGTTGCATACCACCACTGGCAGGTCTGTGGGCCATGGTCTTCCCAAGTCTGCTAGCAGTTCCTGTGTGCCTCAAGCAGCTCCCAGACTAATAAGGAAGCTGATCAGATCCATCAGTTTTGATTGGTAACATCTCCTCCAGCTCTAGTACTGAATTTTTATGACACTGACATTTTCTGGAAGAAAATTTTTACTCAAAAGAATTGTAGCTGTGATAGAAACCAGGCAGGCTGGCAGTCCCCCTCTTGCATGGTTCCCGACCCGCCTGACCCTGAGACAACTGGGTCCCCAAATCCCTGGTAGCATGGCAAGGCACCTCCAAACCCCTGTGCTGTTGAGGAAGCAGCTGCTTGAGACACTACAATAGTAAACCCAAGAGATAAAGACTCACAAAGCTGCTGATGACAAAACACCAAGGCATTCTGCTTTCATTCCCCCAAACAGCGCTTCCAGAAGATTTCCTCCCATGCCACACTTTGAACCTTTGGTCACCAGGGTTTGGGTGAGCAGAGCTCATTTTTAACACAGGAGGAATCTCATTTTATTAGATGGCTTTAGCCACGAGGCAGCTGATAATCACCCAAATTTCACAAGTTGCCTTGGAATGCTCCAAGCTGCAGAAGCGAGGCCGGGGGTAAGTCCCAGGGAAGGACAGCCCAAAACCTGCTCTGCAGAGCCCCAGGACCTCTCGTCCCAGCCACATCACTTTCCCTCCTGGACAGCAGCAAGGAACCTCGTAGCAGGTCTCAATTCCTCCTTTCCGCGTTCAGTGGGCTGTGTCTGGGTCAAGGATGGTGCCCAGGGACCACCGACAAGGGCTGCAACCCAACCAGTCCCACCTACCGAGCCTCTGCGCTCCCACCCTGCTTTTTCACACCAACTTCGGACAACTCAGTTCAAACGTTTACAGTCCTTTGTGTTTTTAAAGATGACTATTTCCAGAGCTACATT